TGACAAACACAAGAGTCAGTACGTTCCACTAGAGCTGCCGGTGGAGTCGCCTTCATGTTGACGTGCGACTGTGGTTTCATGAGGTTAAGTGTGAGCAGATCGTCACTCATCAGGTGAAAACAAATTCCGACGCATAATTGAACCCCAACAGTGACATACGTCGTTCATCTCACATAATTTGAACAAATTCACGTTCAAGTTCTTGATTTACAAATGTGTTGCAGTTCAAAGTTCACTGAAAAATGAACATGTTCAATTGAACTTGTTCATGCACAACACTGACTTTCACTAATAATATTCTGATTGAAGTAAGTACTGAAGTAAGCATTACTTGAGTAAAAGTTGTGCTTCCTGATCTTGCTGTGAGTGACTCTTTGTTCCTTGGGGTCACATGAGAAACAAAAAAATATATTATGGAGGTGCAGTCACCCAAAGGGCCCAAATAGAATTGTATAATTGTACAGAAGATTAACAAAACGTCCAAGAGCCGAACAAAAAGTCAAAGAGTCAAAATCAATGCTAAAGCCCTATTCCCACTGGATCAGTTTGACCTGTGGACCTTTGGGATCTGAATCCTGTGAGAATGCACCATGTCTGTAATTTATAAAGTTCAACTTCTGACACAAATGACCGACTGTACTTCACCAAACACAGATGTTCGGTGATAATACTCGTCCTGAGTGAATCTGTCTCTCAGTGTTTGTTGTTGTCATTGAGCGGCTTTTCTTTCTTTTCTTTTTTTCATGGGGGCACCAGTCGCAAAAACTGTCGTTGTGTCCTTAGGCAAGGCACTTCACCCACATCGTCTAGTACAGATCTGGGCTTTGTACAGCTCTGGGGTCACATACAGTCCAGACTCTGAATGACCCCTTTAACCTAATTTGGAATTACAAAATAAACCTATTGTTTTTGTTTTTGTTTGTTTATGTTTTACCTCTTGCATGAACTAAAGCTGCATTGCTTTTATTTTAGAGATTAGACATTTTTTGTAACGCAACCTCACTTTTTCATTGAGCCATGGAGGCTCGGACACGTTGCATCTCACGTGGTCAGAAAAAAGTGAAAAAAGTGTAAAGAAAAGACGTCAAACTTAAAGAAACTCTCGTGGTGGACGTTTTCAAAATAAAAGTCAGTGAGAAACAGAAGTTTACAATAAAAATATAAATAAATAATAAAACCTGCGCTAATGGAGTTAAAATAATTGAATGTATTAGTTAACTTAAAATGATCGTGTTAACATGCCCAGCCCATATTATATACAAATCCACGTACATATATTTCAGTACATCTCCTTTTCACTTCATATTGTAAAGGCAGAGCATCATTTTATCTGTTCTACTCTACCTTTTTTTTATTGTTTGTTTTCCCTTCCCCCAATTAATTAAGTTAATATTGTCATCTCCTTTAAACAAAAGGCACAGACATTCAGAAATAATCAGAACAGCCTCAGGAGAACTTAACAGAACACTGTAGTGTGTGAAAGAGAGACTAAAATTCAATAACTATTCCAGGATTGAAAAATGACATTTTCAATTTCAATGACTTTTCCAGGATTTCCATGACTGCAGGAGCCCTGAGAAGAGCTCCACTGCAAATATTAATATCTACATAAGCTAAAATGACTTCAATTAAGAACATTTGACTTTATTTGAGTTGATTCAACTTGACTAGTAAAATGATCGACCAGTGGAATAAGTGTGTTTTTCGTAATTCTTATTTTAAGTGCTAAAAGTTGTTGTTTTTCTTATTTTAAGTGGAGCGAGATGTATTTTCATATTTTAAGTACAAAAAGTCTAGTTTCACTGGCAGATCATTTTATTTGTTGAGAGAAATCTTCTCAAATCATAATAAAACTTTTGTTTTATCATGATTTTCATTTAGATTTTGTTTTTTGCAGTGTATGGTGAGCTTTAGATGAGGTACAGTCTGTGCCTCTAAAACATAAACATTGAATGTATAAAGTTAGGCATCAAAATGATACATGTCCAATGACAACAGGCATGTAATCAATCACTTATAATTCAGAAATCCTTTGGGGAGCTACAGGTAGCTCCTGAGCTACAAATCAGAGATCCCTGGATTACACAGACATAAGACCACATGGGAATAGAAAAGAAAGTACTACCATTTTAAAAACTAACAAAAAACAGAACCCAAAGTCGCTCTAAAGGATCAAACTTGGCAACCCTGTGTGGGGACAGAACGGGAATAGAAAAGAAGGTACTACAATCGAATGTTAGAAATCACACTACATTGTCTAAAAAAAAAAAACTAAATCAAAAGTTGCTGTAAAGGCGCAAACTTGGCAACCCTACATGGGGACAGAATGAGAATAGAAAAGAAAATACTACCATTTAACATTGGAAATCACATTCCATTGTCTGAAGAAAATAAATAAATTAATAAAATAGAAAATAAAATCGCTGTAAAGAAGCAAACTTGGCAACTCTGTGTGGGGACAGAACGGGAAAAGAAAAGAAAAGACTAGCATTTAATGTTGGAAATCACACTACATTGTCTAGAGAAAGAAAAGAAAAAAAAGAAAATGAAAACTGACAAAAAACAAAACCTAAAGTTGCTGTAAAGAAGCAAACTTGGCAACCCTGTGTGTGGACAGAAATGGAACAGAAAAGAAGGAACTACGATTTAACATTGGAAATCACACTACATTGTCTAAAGAAAGAAAAAAAAAAGAAAAAAACAGACCCCAAAGTCGCTGTAACGAAGCAAACTTGGCAACCCTGTGTGTGTTACAGAACGGGCGTGCTCCTGTTTGGGCTCCTGACGTGATGTTTTTGGCGATTTGGGGGCATGGCCCGGTTCCGCGCCGCCATTGGCCGACCCGGGGACCCCACCCATAGCATGGCCCTCGATTTGGACCAATGGGGAGCGTCGGTGGGAGCACGCATTGAGAGGAGACAAAAGCGGGGCGCGTGTTTTTGTCCCCGGCGTGCAGGACATGGTGTTGGTGTGTACTCGGGGCCGGTGGGTGTGCTCCATTGTTTCGCGCCGTCGCCCCCTTTTTGAGAAAACACACTCGGCCGTCCACTGTCACGGGGCCCCGAACTGCTCTATTCGGGTTCGTAAACTCCGGCGTTTGACCCGTTTCTCCGGTCACCGTTGTCCGAGTTAAAGCCGCGTTGTGTAACTTTCCGGTTGGGGGTCCGTCACCTTCTTTTGTGACGTTAAACAGCTCGACTTTGCACTGCTTTTATGGCTCAAAAATACTTCGAAAACAGACGTTCTGACTGTGAGCGGGGTCGCCTTTCCGCAGATCTGACCTCTAACTTGGTCTGATTTGGTTTCCATGGAGATAGCAAGGTTTAATGCCATACTGTGGAACATTACAAACAAAGCAATAAGCATTTGACAGACAGGAAAAAAAAAAAAGATTAAACTATAACTATAACGACTTTTATCTCTTTTATCTCTCTTCCTCTCTCCCACCTTTTGCTCTCATTCTCTCTCTCTGCCCCAGTGTCCTCTCTCCACAGTGTAATAACATGCGTCACTCCCCTCTCTTGTTTTTTTTTTTCTTCTCTCTCTGCCTCCTCCTGCCCTCCCCTCTCCTCTTTCTGTCTCTCTCCTCTCTCTGGAGTGTAATAAGATGTCTCTCTCCCCATCTCTCACCAGTATAATATCATGTCTCTTTCTCTCTCTTTCTCCCTCTCTCCAACACGTCTCTCTTATTCTCTCCGTCCCTCCCTCCGTAGTGTAGTATAATGTCTCTCTCTTTTTGTAGTGTAACATCTCTCTCTTTTTCTCTCTCTCTCTGTAGTGTAATATCTCTCTTTCTTTCCCTCTCTCTCTGCAGTGTAACATGTCTCTTTGTCTCTCTGTCTCGCTGCAGTGTAACATGTCTCTTTGCAGTGTTACATGTCTATTTGTCTCTCTGCAGTGTAACATGTCTCTTTGTCTCTCTAGTGTAACATGTCTCTTTGTCTCTACAATGTAACAAGTCTCTTTGTCTCTCTGCAGTGTAACATGTCTCTCTGTCTCTTTGCAGTGTAACATGTCTCTTCGTCTCTCTGCAGTGTAACATGTCTCTTTGTCTCTACAGTGTAACATGTCTCTTTGTCTCTCTGCAGTGTAACATGTCTCTTTGTCTGTTTGCAGTGTAACAAGTCTCTTTGTCTCTCTGCAGTGTAACATGTCTCTTTGTCTCTCTGTAGTGTAACATGTCTCTCTGTCTCTCTGCATTGTAACAGGTCTCTTTGTCTCTCTGCAGTGTAACATGTCTCTCTGTCTCTACAGTGTAACATGTCTCTTTGTCTCTCTGCAGTGTAACATGTATATTTGTTTCTTTGTCTCTCTGCAGTGTAACATGTCTCTTTGTCTGTCTGCAGTGTAACAAGTCTCTTTGTCTCTCTGCAGTGTAACATGTCTCTTTGTCTCTCTGTCTCTCTGCAGTGTAACATGTCTCTTTGTCTCTCTGTCTCTCTGCAGTGTAACATGTCTCTTTGTCTCTCTGTCTCTCTGCAGTGTAACATGTCTCTTTGTCTCTCTGCAGTGTAACATGTCTCTCTGTCTCTCTGCAGTGTAACATGTCTCTCTGTCTCTCTGCAGTGTAACACGTATCTTTGTCTCTACAGTGTAACATGTCTCTTTGTCTCTCTGCAGTGTAACATGTCTCTTTGTCTCTCTGCAGTGTAACATGTCTCTTTGTCTCTTTGCAGTGTAACATGTGTCTTCGTCTCTCTGTCTCTCTGCGGTGTAACATGTCTGTTTGTCTCTCTGCAGTGTAACATGTCTCTCTGCAGTGTAACATGTCTCTTTTTCTCTCTGTCTCTCTGCAGTGTAACATGTCTCTTTGTCTCTCTGCAGTGTAACATGTCTCTTTGTCTCTCTGTCTCTCTGCAGTGTAACATGTCTCTTTTTCTCTCTGTCTCTCTGCAGTGTAACATGTCTCTTTTTCTCTCTGTCTCTCTGCAGTGTAACATGTCTCTCTCTCTGTCTCTCTGCAGTGTAACATGTCTCTTTTTCTCTCTGTCTCTCTGCAGTGTAACATGTCTCTTCGGGGACAGAGGGGGGAGTGCTGGTGTGTGAACCCTCTGACCGGAGACCAGATCCCGGCTTCACCACGAGTCCGAGGAGACCCCAACTGTGAGCAGTACTTCAACACCGCGGAGACGGCTACTGAGCACTGAAGACTACTACTACTACACCTAATACTACTATTACTACTTCTACACATGCAGTAGGCGTACGACTGTGAGCAGTACTTCATCACTGACAGCAGCTGATCACTAAGTACTGAACGTTACTACTAGTACTGCCAATACTACAGCAGAGAAAACATGAGATCTGATCACCGAATACTGACTGTGAATACTGACTACCACTGTTACTGCTACTGCTACTGTGACGTGTACTTTTGGTATAATACCAGTTGTTTCTTATTGTACTTTTAACCCCCAGAATGCATTGGGACCAACAAATATAGTTTTAACACATGAAAATCACAGCTCACAGAGTCTCAAAGCTATTGCAAACTTTTTATTAAACTCATAAATATAAAGTAAAACTAGAAGGAATTAAATTGAAGAATTAAAAAAAAAACGTTTTAGATCTAGAGGCGTTCAGTATGTGGCATTTTAATATTTATAGACCTTTTTCACAATGACCGGAAGTGTCGCGATGTTGGGTAAACATCACTTCCGGTTAAAGGTTGTATGGAGGATTTAGTTTTAGTTTCAAATTGTCAGTGAAAGTTTAAAATACCATTACAGAAACACAGCAGCCTTGTAATTATGATGACCAAAAAAAAACAAAACAATAAAAATCTATCAACTGTGGACATAGTGAGGCCAGATAAACATCAGCCAATAAATAACGAGGCTCCCTCTTTATCTATTGGCTGTTAGGTTGTCAATCAAACTCCGTACGCGCGGGGATTATGTGGTTTATGCAGCGGTTCTGAGAGGCTTTTTCAAACTGTCGCTTCCTCACGTTTCGCACAAAGTTTGTTGCGACGGTGGACGAGAATCCACGACCAGTTCGCCGCCAAAGAAAGTCCATTTTTGAGGTCGCTGAAAGAAGAGGAGTGAAAAAGGAGCGAAGCCAAACTGAGGTGATTCTTGGAGATTTCTTCCAGCGATGGAGCGACTGAAGCAGAAAAAAGGGTCTAAAAACTGAAAACACGTCGGTCACTAAATTGTTTCTAGACAGGTCACTTCAACAGTAATTCTGAACGTGCACTGGATGTAAACAAGCGTGGTTTCTAGAGTAAGGAGGCGGGAGGAGGTGTTTCTACTGAGGGAGCTGTGGAGGAGGAAGGTGGTGTCACGCATGCACAACATTTGAAAAAAGGACAGTCGCTGTATTTCTCTTCCCTTAAAAAATCCTCTATACAACCTTTAATGCTTTTCTATGGCAAAATATCTGTGGAAATGTCTTGCGTATTTTCCAGCAGCTTCATAAATCTGTCCCATCACCAAATCTTCAACCCACAAGGTCGACAAAGGATAAACATTCTAACATGAACAATTTATCCACAACTATCAAGGGAAGAAAGACGAAAACATAAAGGAAAACAACAACGACGCTTTAGTGAACTAATGACCAAAACTAACATTATGATCATGAATAAAACATGAGTAATTTTTAACTCAGATTGATTCTAGAATTAAATAAAAAATGTTTTCGTGATGTAGATATTAGCACAGACAGAGAGATTTGTTCAGTTCAAATGCTACAGATGTTCACAGATACATGTCTCACTTTTAAACTGAACAAATCTCTCTGTCTATGCTAATATCTACTAGCCTGATTCATCAGCCGGTTTTACTTCATTTCACTTCGTGACCTCACAGTGTTAGAATTCGTTCGCTCGAAGGTAAGCGGGTACTTTTCATCATTTAACTATCGCTGCTATTTGGTCATGATGTATGTAAAGCGCCGCTAACGGGACTAACTGGTGTATTAAGCTTTTCCCAAATCCTGTAGGAAGAAGGACAATAACGTCTTTCCCCTTGATAAAATTGACAAAACATTCTCTTTGTTCCGGCTTTAAATCCTCGATCTCGGAAATCATTGACAACACTGAATGTATGGCTCTTCGCTGATTGGCTGATGCCTGAACTCACACTTCCGGGGTTTTTGCGAACCATCTAGTGTATTCTGATTCTTGATCTAGTCGCTGGGGAGAAATGAAATTGAGTGGAGGCACTAGGTGGTGCCAGCCTGGCTAAATATCTATATCATGAAATCAGTTTTAAATTTTAATTCTAGAATCAGCCTGAGTTAACAAGTTACTTATGTTTTATTCATGAGCATAACGTTAGTTTTGTTCAGTGTGTCACTAATGTGTTGTTGTTGTTCACCTTGAAGTTTTCATCCTACTTCTCTTGATAGTTGTGGATAAATTCTTCATGGACAGAATTGGTGATGGGGCAGATTTATGAAGCTGCTGAAAAATACGTGAGACATTTCCACACATATTTTGCCATAGAAAAGCATTAACCAGGAGTTATGTTTACCTACATTGCGGCACTTCCGGACGTTATGGAAAAGGTCTATTGTAGATTAAAACTAGCATTAGTTTTGAGACACAAACATGTCGCTTTGTCAACACAAAAGAGTCCTCCACTGAAATATTCTCCACAGTCTTTAACACGCTGAACACTAACATCCATCCGCCGCCCTTGTCCACAGCCTGATCTTTAAATATTTATTCATTTCAGTGCGTCTCAGCAAAATGTCACTCTGACTGGACTGGCTTACATAATGCTTTCTTCAGACTTCTAACATGGTGCTCTAAGTAATTGTTTGGACTCTTGACTTTGGTTGTAAATGAGATCTTTATTCTATGTTTATGTTTTATTAATAAATCATTAATTATTATGATATTTTAAAATGTGTATGTTCAAATATTCCCTCATTCACTTTTTAATAAAATGTTACAGCATTTTGCAGCTTAGTCAAAGTGTATAAATATTTGCATTCGGAACTGCAAAAGGGAATCAGATGTGTGTGACTGCAAACCTCTGTTCAAACTGTTTCTCTTCCCAATGGATTTGAAAAATAGTGAAAGGTGAAGGTGATGGGCAGGACTGATCCACAGGAAGAACCAAAAACAAAACATTTGGTTGCCTAAAAAATCATCTTGAGCAGCGAACATTTTTTAAGTGGACTTTATACTTTAGTTATGTACGATTTCGACTCATTTATATGAATATATACGTATCCACAGGACAATGTAGCCATCGAATAATGCTCCCACTTTAGAATCACCATTATCCACTGATTTATATGAATTAAAGTAGAGGTAGCTCATTTGGACAGGTCTATATCTTCTATCAAATAAGACTCCCACTATCCATGCTTAATTGGTCAAAACATACAATAAAATCAATACACGTTTAAAATGTGACTTGTTACTCCACTTCTGCCTCGGGAGCACTAATCGACGGCATTTAAACTGGAAGAGCGATGGGCAATAGAGCTAGGTAGCTCAAATCGACAGGACACCAGCCCTGCCAGTGAGGTGTCCCTTATTTATTTTTCAGGGAGTTGGTAACCGTAGTGTTAGTGTGTGTGTGTAGTTCATCTAATTGTGACTAAATTGGTACTAAAATCAGGTTCTCATGACATAAGTGCTTTGTTATGGGCCATGACCATTTCAGTTTCAGGTATGGGTTCGATCAGATAAGATCAGGGTGTAGGTTAGGTTGTGCAAGGAGTGTCTGTGCTTAAAGTGTGTAAATGTTTTCTTGTTGTTCTAATTCTGACTTGGTGTGGTGGATAGTACCTGTGGGAAATGTTCACCATAGTTTTACATCAGTTAAGTGACAGTGAAAAAAACAATTGAGAAGAAAAGAACAAAAATACAAGAAGTAGCACTGAGTTGTAAAACAGAATCTCTCTACTTATGACATGGAAAAAAAAAAAAAAAAACTCAGAAAAAGGACGGCATTTTTATTTATTTTTTCTGGGGACCCAAACCTTCACAACCCAAGCCAATACATATTATTTGTAAACCACAAAATAAAGGGGGATTTGACCATTATTGAACATTTTATTGTTGACTGTGTGATCAAGTTTGTCACTGAAGCAGCAATAAAAGGATCCATATGTCGCCTATTTGGACATTAAATGTAGCCCTTTATATTGCAGACCTACATATAGATCATGACAACGTGACCCAAAAAAAAAAAAACCCTCTTGCAACCCACCTGAGGGTTGTGACCCAGTCCTTGGGAAACACTGGACTAAGAGCGTGTGACTTCACCCATGGCATTTGGCTCAAATGGAGCTCATCAAGGCAGTTGTAAGGGCATATATGAAGTTGAGAGTCATATTTGGAATAAGGATTTATTTACATGATCCTCCAGCAAGAGTGGTACAATTGGGTGTACACAAATGTACACAAACTTCTCGTCATGTGAAAATTGTGTCTGAACTCTGTGTGAGTGAATCCCACCACTCCTCGCTGTAACTCCGCACTCACACGTTCCTTTCTACAGATGTTGCTGCCACTGCTCCAACAAAACACCACGGCCAAAAACCTCGTCCTTCTCCTTCTCAATCTCCTCCTTAAAACAAATAAGTTGTACATGTTCTGACTCCAGTACGACAACAACTTTAAAATCTCCAGGTGCTCAATGCTGTGTCCATGTTTAGGTGACTTCCGAAAACACTGAGCAAACTCACTGTGTGTGACGTCATCATGTTCTCCAATGTGCATGCGGAATCCATGTATCATTCGTTCATTAGTTTTTTCAATATAAAACCAAAAATAAGAAAACTAAAAAACTATACAGACTGAATCAGGACTAAACCAGGACTACACCAGGTCCAGGACCAGACCGAAACCAGACCGGGACTGAGACCAGGACTTAGACCCGGCTCAGACCAGGACCAGGATCAGACCGGGACTAAGGGGCGTTTTCTCACCGCTAGTTCGATTATTTGGTCCGCACCAGGCAATAAAATTGTTATTATGTAGCAGATACACTCCAGTGTGGTCCTCTTTCATGTCGGCCAAAACTGGTCCGACTGACGTGCCTCTGTTTCCCGGGAAAAAAGCGATACCTCCAATTATCAATACTGATGTTCTCTGTTAATATCACGGGCCGTCTTCATCTCAAGTTATCATCATGAACTCATAAAACAGCAACATGTAGAACTTTGTACAAACTCACCACATCAGCCTGGAGCAGAAGCTCTGAGTTCGGGCAACAGCAGCAGCCAACAGTGATAAAGAGGAGCACCGCAGCTCGCAGCCCCTCAGGACGTCATTTCAGGCAGAGGAGACGCGTGTCCTCCCATGATGCATCTAGAATAGTTCGTTTGGACCTACTGTCTATGGTTTGGACCCGAGTTCACGTTCACACCAGGGGAACTGCACCAGAGTTTGTTATTTGGTGCAGATTCAAGTGGACCGAGACCACCTCTTTTTTGAGGTCTCGGTCCACTTGATTTGGTGTGGGTCCGAGTCCGATTGACGCTTTCAAACCAATGCAAATTAAGAGCTTTTGGTTTGAATGGACCGTTTGGTGCGCACCATTTACTGCCTGAAAATAGTTTAGTCCTGTTTTAGTCCTGTTCAGTCCGTATGCGGCGCAAAAGTCCAGCATCACAGTTAAAATCACGGAAACACGAAACAGCCATTACCCGTTTTTTTCAATTATTCATTTAAACACAAAATTGAAAACTGAAAAAAAATGACTAATTATTCCTTTTTTCATTTTGGTTTTGGAGACAAATAGTTAAGAAAATAGTTGTTTTTTCGTTTTTCTAATTTTTTTGGTTTTATATTGAAAAACAAATGAACGAATGATAACACGGATTATGCAAGACACTTTTGGAGCATTTAAAGTTCACACTGGAGATCACATACAAGTCGCATTTTACTGAAAATGTGAAGGACCTCGCAAAAAAATCTGATTTCACCAAAAAAATCCAAATTGAGCTTTAAGGCCTGCGGTCTGAACATAGCCTAAGTCTGCAAGAAATGAATGGAAATCAATGTAATGTCTCCAAAAAGCAAGGAAACCCAAATATGCCTTAGCGTGTGTGTATGCATGTATGCTGGTGTGTGTGTTAGCATGGGCATTAGCGTGTGTGCGTTAGAGTGTGTGCGTTTGAGGGCCGTGTCTAATGAAGTGTTGACAGCAGAGGGATTAGGACG